GTTAATTAGAAATGACACAACTCATTGTTATAACAAAGTAAATCACAGTTTTTTCTGCTACTGACATGTTTGTTTCATTCCTCCTCCTCCTCCTCCTCCTCTTCCTCTGATGTTTGTCTCCTTTGTTGTTTCCTGTTTTATGTCATTTTATATCCTCGTGTCCTTCAGCTGGTTTCTGTGGTTTCGGTTTAATTCTGTTTAATAAACGTTTTTCTCCAAATCTTTGAGGTTCTGCGTCTCATTCACTGTGTTTTTGGATACAATGACACTGAGCTGCCCAAGAGGATCACAACAACTTTATTATCTTCCATTCCGAAACTTGGAGAGACTCGGTTTGTATTTCCCAAAAGTGAATTTAACAACTTACGTCAATGGTTGGCTGCAACGACCGACTGATACAAAGTCTAAAAATGTCAAAGAAGACACAAGCAGACACTGCACAAAATAATTTACATTAGTCGGCGTCTCTCGGCGGCGAGCAGTGGCGCGTCTTGGGAAGCGTCAGAAAAAGCTGAAATCCAAGCAACTTTATGGTAATGAGAATCAGACCAATCAGAATGTCGTAACGCTCCGCTAAATTTTAGTTCCCACTAAAACTTTTGTTCCCAAGCACGACGGAGGAGATAATGACAGTAGTGGTGGCTGGTTTCCTCGTCCTGTACGACGTGTCCCTGTTTGTTTACAGGAACTGAAGATCTAAAATCCTTCATCTGGTTAAAATACATGATGTAAAACCACCAAGGTGGTTTGAGAATTGCTGGAAACATTTGTGATAATGTAAGAACACAACTCAACAACATATAGATCACAGGTCTAGTTGTTTTTTAGTCATTTAAAAGTTACAGATTCTAACTTTAAAGTGGGGGCAGATGTATTTTTCTCTTTGAGGAACAAACACAAACACAGGTGCATCGGAAAGATGTGACGTCTCCTCCGAGTGAGAGACACTGAGAGCAGCTCAGAGTTCAGTTTTCAAATGTTCTTGACGATAGAAAGACCGACCTGTTACTGTGTTGACATCAACAAACAACACTTAATGAAGAGGAGTGCGGTAACCATGGAGGTAACCATGGAGGTAACCATGGATCCTCCTCATCATCTGACTTATTACTTTTCCCCTCAGTGGACGCCAGCGTCTTTGAACTATCCGTGACTCTTTGAAACCCCAGTAGTACCCTGACAGTGTTTACACTATGTGCCCTGCAAGTGTGTGTGTGTGTGTGTGTGTGTGTGTGTGTGTGTGTGCGTGTGCGTGTGTGTGTGTGTGCGTGTGGTTAACACCCACTCACCCTTGCAGCTGGAAGCAGCCGTTACGGAGGTATGGCACACAATGAAGACATTTAAAACTCCACTGAGGAGTGCAGCACACACACACACACACACACACACACACACACACACACACACACACACACACACACACACACACACACACACACACACACACACACACACATACTCCTGTCTCTGAAGGCCACTATCAATTACAGTTATTCCCCGTTAGTTTCCATGTAAACACAAACAGAGGGAGAAATAAAAGTTAAAAATATCATCAATCTCAAATCAATTCCTTCTCAATCACGTCCCACTTTGTTGCTGAATAAGTCTCCGGTGTGTCACCACATACATTTAATTACGCCACACAAACACATGCACAATCTTCTTTGGCAACAGTTTCCCCCCAAAACACAACAAGACGCTCCCCTGTGAGCTGATTAGGTTGTTTTCCTCGAACGCTTTCACGATGCTCGCTGCATAGCTATGCAATGACACGAGCTGGTTTTTTTTTACGACCTGACTTAAATGTTGGTTCTGCTGCACCGTATAAATCATATTTCACTCTCTCTCTCTCTCTCTCTCTCTTATGCAACTGAGATGTTTCAACAAGAAAACCCACAGCGTCCATAGCTGCTGGCTGACAGACGCACGCCCTCAGCCAGGCCAGAAACTGGATGCATGAGCTCATCGCCTCCAAGCCGCTGCATGTACTTCTCTTTTTCTTTTTTCTTTTTTTTTTTTATGGCTTGGTGCAACCTGACCTCACCTGGCAGGGAGGAGAGTTGAGTTTGAACATAAACCGAGAGAGTCGAGGTCTGTCGGAGAGAGAGAACGGTGACGGAAATTAGCCACTTTGCTTTTCCAAACACCCTTTGTGTTGGGAATCGGTCCGGTGTTATTCCTGATCTGTCACAACAGCTGAGGAGAGGAGAGCCAGACGGCCGGACCGCCATTACAGCTGTTTATTATTCAGAGATGATGAGGAGCGCAGAGAGAGAGGGAGAGAGAGAGAGAGAGAGAGAGAGAGAGAGAGTGAGCAGTGAAGAGGAAATAAAAGTGAAGTATTTGTGGTGAGGAGGAAGGGAAGGGGAGACGGGGAGAGAAGAGCTGAAGCCACAACACACACACACACACACACACACACCAAGACAGTGAGTTTTCCACAAGGTCTACATGGAGTTTTGCATTGTGCGTGCAGTAGTTAAGTGTGTGGCCAGTGGTCTGTTCACACACACACACACACACACACACATTTATGGGACATTCTGCTCTTGACATGAAATTTCCACTGAGTTTAAGTTACCGTGTCTCTGTGGGAACGCGGCGGGATCAACCTCAGTAACCTTATAAACACACTGTGACACTGAGGCGATGTCGTCCGTATCGAGCCGACTGCCACACGGAGAGGGGCGTGACCCTAAAGCTGCGACCCAATTCACGGGGGCCACGCTGTGCACGAAGGATGTGGCCCTTCGTAGATGTCGTGTATCGCAAAGGATTTTAGCTTTGTGTCACCAGCTGTGCTCGCCATTACCGTTACCTTGACAACACGTAACTTTTATTATAAAAAAACTTGAGGTTTTAACAGTTGTACCGTGTGTGCATGTGTGTGCTGATGCACAGTGCGTTGACCTCTCAGGGCCACCGTACGTGTGGCTGTAATATCTGAAATATCTCAACACTTACTGGATGGATTGCTGTGAAACTTTGCACAGGCATTCATGTTCCCCAGAGGATGAACCCAGATGACTTTGGTGATTGTCTGACTTTTCCTCTTGCGCCACCATGAGGTTTGTGGTTTAAACCTCCACCCCATCCACAGTGATATCACCCGATCTCCAGCACCAGCCCTGACTTGCCTCCCATCATACAAACCATCTTATCGTCTGAAGATCACGTGACTGGATAATTACACACAACTGATACGACATGTAACGTCTCAACACTCATCTGATTCTCTGGAACAACCTGTCTGTGACGGATAGATCCTGTTGTCGGTCTGTTCTTCTTGCCGTTCCCCGCTGACCTGAAGCTGCCTGCCTGCCTGCGTTGGTCTGAATGTTTCCCAGCAGATACGAAAACCTCTGTTCAAATGTCAGGACCAAAACCAGGCCCCTCAGAGACCTGGTTGTTTATTAAGCCTGAAACCAATATAGATGCATTTTCCACTGGAGCAACCACGGCCAAGATTTCTGCCTATTTTACTGGTTTTAATTAGACAGTTATTATGCCAAATATAGTATTCAGTATTCCCAGCCAGGGTCAAAAAAGCCCCTGAAATAGCATGTAAGGAAGGATAAAGTTACATGATCTGTGTTGGGAAATTCAGCCCTCGAAGGATTATTTCTCTTATCATGAGTCTTATTTGAGCGTGTTGCTCAATTTTGGGTTTGGCCGTGGGACATTTTACATGTTTACATCCTGCAGCTGAAAACCTACAGGTCTTTTCCCAGGAAGTGTGTCATTTTTTAATCATTTCTGCAGCGTGTTCAGCGAGAGCGTTCAACCATCAGATTGAATATGGCAGGCACCCAAAAACATTAGACCTTTTAAACTCTCTCTTGACTCTGTCAGGCTTTTTTTGGCCTCTAACTTGCATTTTACATCATGTATCATCAAATCACTCATGTATTTATTCGTGGTAATTTTTACCACGGTGTCTCAAATTGCTCCACGAGCATCTTATCTGGAAATACTGATGGTATCTGTTCCGGCGACCAGCTGTGTTGATCCTGGAACTGATTGTTAGCGTACGTCTGTGTCTTTAGGAGGTTTTTATTTTGTTCTCTTCTCTTCTGTTTGGTCGTGGCATTTCTTCAAAGAACATCAAAAGTTACCGTTTCTTTAATTCATTTTCTTTCTTTCTTTTTTTTGTTTTTTCCTCCTCACTCTCTAACTCTCTCTCTTTTTCTCCGAGACAGGTTTAGTGCTGCCACACACACACACACACACACACACACACACACACACACACACACATGAATGCAGACACACACACTTTACCCCTTAGGGCGCAGGTTGCTGGTAGCACACACACAAACACACATCTGGAATCAGTCGAAGTAAAGCTCTGTTTATCCCTGTAAGTGGCCTCAGACCTGACTGACCAGTGGAGCTGCACTGTAAATCTCAATTTGCTCATTCAACTTAAAAGTTTATTGGAAACACAAAACACAAAACTTTTAGTTTAATACAGTGACATGAAAGTTATGAGGACACCTGACACAAAATAACTGTATCACATGACCTTTGTCTGTCTGTAAATTTATGTCAGTTCAACAGAATATTTTTTTGAGCATTTAATTTATACATCATATTAACGAGAAATATACGTTATATGACACAAAATTATCAGGTTGCTGAGTGATCATTTTTATGTTTATTAAACACTTACTCAATGTGATGATAACTTCAGTTATTTCATATACACACAACATTATTTATTGGAATTTTAAAGTCAAATTAAGTTTTTTTTTTTTTTTTAATTATTCAACTGAATCAGATTGTTTGTGGAAAATATTTCGCTATTGTATCTTTGCTAGCTAGCAGGGGAGGCAGCTAGCTCACCCCCTCTCACTCGAGCTGCCGGGGAGAGGCATTTGTTATTGATGCTGTCGAAAGGTCTAGTAGATTTTACACCTTTTGCTTGTGTGTATTTTTCCCAGTTTGTTGTCTTTAAACATTAATTATTGCAATTATTCTGCAAAAGCATATGATTTGAATTTTTTTTTTATTTGTGTGAAATCTAATGTCAACAATACAAGTGATACGTAATGTCTTACAGCAGTTTTTCTTTATTTATATGTACGAGTGGGATTACTGTCTTAAAAGAAAGCTAAAGTGGAGCAGAGGAGAATCCTGCTGATGTTTCGCCAGAGAAAACAGATAATAAGAGGGTTAGTGTGTGTGAAAAATTTTTGGTTTTATCTTTCACTTATGTCCAAAATTTAACTTAGAAAAGGACATTTGGACATTTCAGAGAAACAGTTTTCTTACTTATTCATTCACATGTTGCCAAAAGTAATGTAAAAATTTGATAATATAATAATTTTTCGAATCAATGAATTGTAATAATAATTATCTTTATCTTTATCTTAATAATTATCTATTATGTATTATTTACAAAGTGCTTCACACAAGGCAACAACTTCAAAACAAGCAGATCATAAAAACTTATATAGAGTAATAAGCAAATTAAAAAAATAAAACCAATGACAGTGTCGGCAGCCAAAGAGCGAACAATAAAAATCAAGTCAAATCAGGAAAAGCTCAGATAAAAGTTTGCCTTAAGATTTAAAAGAGGACTATGACTCTGCTGACCTGATTTCCTCAGGCAGTTTCTTCCATAGCTTGGCTGCCCGAGGATCTCAGGCTACATACTGGCTCGTATGCGACGAAGAGATCAGATATAAGACATGAGGAGCCTTAAAAGTCAACCATAACACCTTAAAACCAATTCTAAAACACAGGGAGCCTGGGAAAGAGCAGGTGTGATGTGATCAGTTCTGTTGGATCTTGTTAAAGACCTGTCGGCTGAGTTCAGTACAGTCTGGAGCTGGTTAATAGACTGTTGGTTGAGGCAGGTGAAGAGGCTGTTGGAACAGTTGAGGCCTGAGGAGATGAAGGCGTGTAAACTGGTCTCTGTGTCTTTGAAATATAAAATAGTATTTTGGAAATAATTGGTTAAATTAAATAAGATGATAAAAACAAGACTGCACAAGTTTTGTGGTGTGATGCTCAAAGCTTCAGTGATTGTCAAACCAGAAGCCAATATCGTTTGCAGCAAATTGATGTTTTTCCAACAGGGAACCAGATTTGCTCCGTGCTGGGAACCAGTTACCGATGGTCTCTGATTGACTTGAGTTAAATTTTATGACTTCCACTTTTTGACGTCACATACACAGTCATGTAGTGAACTCAGCATGTCAGGATCAGTGGCTCTAACAGAAAGCTACACCTGAGTGTCATCGGCATAAAGACGAATCGAAACACCACATCTATGGATAATATGTCCCAGGGGAAGCATGCACAGGGAAAACCAGAGATAATCTTGATGTTCACCACACCCATCCTCGAACACATTCTTCATTTTGATCTCATCTACACACCTATAAAGTTTTGTGACTGTATCTTGCACGATTATGATGCTATAGCAGTGACAAAAATGTGTCCGCCATACTTCAAACCACCTCTGTGGTAGTTCCTGCCGCAGTAAGTGCCGAGTTTTGCCGTGATGTTACAGCTGATAATAAAACGGCACACTGCCTCAATCTGTTGTGATTGACTGTAACAAAGACCAGTGCTAAGGTCTAGAAAAACAACGACCGCCAACAGCCATTAAAAGGTCATTAGTCGCCCATGCTATGATGCTTGTGAAATCCAGGCTGAAATTTTGTAATGTAATTATAAAAGTATATATACAATTTAAATATCGATGGTAATTTTTACAACACCTGGTAGGTGTATTGTATTTATAGATTTAGGATTATTGCCCTATTCATTACATTCAGGAATAAATCTGACGTTTCAGATTCACTCTGTGGAGTTTTCTTCAAAATAAATAACTTTATACTTACATTCAGAGTTTCATATGTATTTTAAACATTACATTGTTTACATCCATGTTCTCTAGCAGTCTTCTTCTTCTTCACTGGTTTTGTTAAGGCGTTGATTTACATCACACCCACGGCAGGAGAGTGTGCCATGTTGCCTGTTCGTGCAAACCCACTTGTTTAAACAACCACTACTACTGGTCAAAAACTCCACACGGTACCTTTAACCAGCGATTGTTGCATTATCACCGGTGTAGTACTGTGACGATCACTGTTCACCCAGAGATTTACTTCAGCATCATGTTTTTAGTCTGAACACAATCAAAGCAAAATCATAAAGACTTCTTAAACAACAAAAAAAAACCCATTCAGTTTCACAGAAACCCAAACTCACCTTTCAAAACAAACAAAAGTCAAACATCTAAGATAGTCTAAATAAAAATGAATGAGTGAGAGAGTGAGGGAGACAGTCTGCCTTCACTGGTGCCTGTGATGTTGGGCTCAGGACACCGGTAGTTTCTTCAGTATGGTTTCTTCTGCTCAGACACAAACACAGGCAGAGATATAGAAATTAAATTAAATATTTGTTTGCACTGAGGGCGACGGTGAAGTTAAAACACAACAATTTTGTTTTCATATTATCTTACCTGCACTAATTTCCTTTTTGCTGTGGAGAAAATAAATGATAATTACTCTTTTGGGCATGAACACATATGTCAGAGTGATTTTAATACTGTAGTTTTCATGTGTTTTCATGTCACTGGCATCCAAACATCTGATTATATTATTTCCCTGTATCTTTGAATCTAGCGTGTTAACTTAAAACTGCATAAATATATTCCTCATTAACTAATGATACTCCTGGATCATCATGGCCGCTCATCCTTTCATCAGCCTGTTAGCATGAGGATCTCCACACCCACCTGAGTGCAGGTAATTCACCATCACGTACAGAAAGGCCAGCAGTGTGACCACAATGATGCCAACAATGAGGTTAAACACCCAGCTGCCTGGCTCTGAACAGAGAGAACAGACAACAGGAAGTTGTCAGGTGTCAGTTATGTTCCTCTGCTGCCACCGTGTGGTAGCTCGTGGTACTACAGTGCAGTTTCCTCTCACCTTCAACAGCCAGGATGAAGCTCTTTTTGATGGGCACCCTCAGGGACCGGTGGGAGACGCTGCACGTAAACTGTCTCCCCGAGTCCCTGAGCCGAGCCTGGAGGTAGAAGAAAGCCGAGACCGAGTACGTCTTGTCGCTGTTGTGCTTGTGGCTGGACAGCAGAACGTTCTGGAGCGGCCTGGGGAGGGGAGCGCCGACCCTCTGGCCGGACATCGCCGCGTCCTGCTCGTACCAAACTATCTCCACGTCCAGAGGGTAATAGTTCTCCGCTTCGCAAATGACCTTCTGCTCCCCGCCCTCCTGCAGGGCGAGAGTGGGTCCAACGTTGAGGGAGACACGGGGGGTCTCTGAGGAGAGGAGAGAAAAAATAAAATGAAACTTTTCTCTCCTTATGAAATTCCCAAGTGATGGTAGTTGAGACTTTTATCAAGCGAGAATACGAACCATTTACTGGTTTAAGCTTCTCAGAAGTGAGAAACTGTTGGGTGTTTTTTGGTTCTCTATCATTGTAACATTAATATCTTTGATTTTGAACTGCCTGACAAAACAGGTGAATTATGTCGGGCAGTTTACACTGTTTTCTAACAATTATAGACTAAAACATTCAGCAACAATCAAAGTAAGGTCAGCTGCAGCCCTTATTTAATGTACATGAGCCAAGAGAGAGAGAGAGAGAGATACTTTATTTATCCCCTAGGGGAACTCCATGCGGTCAGCTGAGATGAAGCAAAGAGTAAACTTATCTTCCTCATTGACAAATCACTGAGGCACATTAAAGGAAATACACTTCCTCTCACTCTCTTGCTGCAAGTTACAGCAGAGGAGAAGATCCTTAAAACGTTTCTGTCATTCTGTGCAGCCAATTAGCTTAGCTTAGCATAAAGAAAAGAAACAGAAAAGCTAGCCAGGAGCAGTGACTTCCCTTATTCATATAGTGCCAAATCATAACATAGATTACCTCAAGGCAGTTTACAGGGTCAGGTCAGGACCTTATGATATAACAGAGAGAAACCCAACAGTTCCAACAGTTGTCATCATGCGGTTGCCAGGCAACAGAAGTCAGTGCAGTTGCCACATGTTTCTGGTCTTAATGCAAAGCTATGCTAACCATCACCTGGCTGCAGCTTCATATTCAGGTACGAGTATTGTATCAATCCTATAATTTAACTGAAATAGGGTTAGGGTTATTTCTTAAAGCATTAAAGACCTTGGTTTGTTTTTTGATTCCAGCCTTAATTTTGAGGCTCACATTGGCATCATCATCTTACTTCTTTTATCTAAGGAATTGTGCTAAATTGGTTCAGTATTGAGATTCGTGCTTTTATTTTGTAATGCTTCGACAAATGTAACGGTCTTCACATGTAATAAATAAAAAAAATAAATCCAGAGACAGCTAGACATCTAACAAAAGAGAACATGTTATCTATTTATGCTCGTACACCTGCTGCCAGTTTGGAAATACCTGCCTAAAGGGCTCACAATTAAAATATGTTCTACCTTACTTTACATTTCCTTTTTCATATATAAAGTAGACAGTATCATGATTACATTATGAATACTATCATTTGAAACCAGTCTCTCTCACCTTGGATATGCAGATTTATATCCAGATTGATGGACAGTGGATTCACTGCCACTGAACAAATGTACATCCCTTCGCTGCTCATCTTGGCGAAGGGGAGGATGTAGGAAGCATCCCCGCCTGCAAGGCTCTTCATCCCAACACCAGACCCCTGGGTTTGACCTGAGCGGCTGTTGTGGCTGAAGAGTTTGTTTCTCTCCCCGCGATACTGAAAGTGCCACTCCACGGTGACGTTTGGCCCCTTGTGGTCAAGAGCAAACTGGCAGTGAAGCTTTTGTTGGGAGCTCAGGCCTGCTGTCACTGATGGCGACTGTGTTTTAATGACCATGGCAACTGTGGAAACAGATGTGATGAAACAGAGGCAGATGAGACAGATGTGTTTTGATTAAACTGCAACACGGGACTGATATTAAAGCCGGTGTGTTACCTGTTGTTGTGAGTATCTCTCCGTCCTGGATGGCAGGCCAGCGGCGGAAGTCCTGCTGTCCTGGGGGAGGCTGGTCAGACGGGTGTCGGAGGAAGCCAGTGGCGGTGAACAGGCCCTTGCTGTGTTTAACGGTGCAGGTGAACCAGCGGTTGTACTCCTGGGCCCCCTGGACGGGCCAGCGCACATGCATGCCCTCTGTGCTGTACCTACGCACCTCACACTCCAAATCCCCCTCATCCACTCCGTCCACATACCGCCGCAGGTCCAGCTTAGATCCTAGAGCAGAATACAGAATATAGAATAGAAAATAATAGAATACAAAAGAATAGAACAGTTCTCGGTCTGTTCAGGAGACAGGTGACAGGTCTTACCGCCCGTGACCAGGAACGTGATGACTCGTGGGTTAAGAGGAGCGTCTCCTTTTTGACCAAACTGCAGCATGGCCTCTCTGTGGATGAGCTTAGTCTCAGGGAGATTCTCCGCATTCACAAACACGCTCTCATCAATGAACTGACAGGGCAGCCATGACATCTGATGGACACACTGGACACCTGGGAGACACACAACCAATCACTGTGGTCGGCTAACACTTCATTTAGTGCAATGTAGTATGGTATAATGTAGTATAGTATAGTATAGTATGTTAAAGTATAGTATAGTATAGTAGTACAGTATGGTGTAGTATATTAAGTACAGTATAGTACAGTACAGTATAGTATAGTATGTTAAAGTATAGTATAGTACAGTATAGTATAGTGTAGTATATTAAGTACAGTATAGTATAGTAGTACAGTATGGTGCTGTATAGTAAGCACGGTATAGAACAGTAGAGTAAGTACATTATAGTATAGTATAGTAAAGTAGTACAGTATGGTGCTGTATAATACTGTACGTACAGCGTTGTATAGCAGTTTTTTCATTCATGTCTTATAAGTTAAAAGACGTGTTCACCGGACACTTACAAGCACCAATAAAGCCTCAATCTGTAACTAATTTGAGTCAAGTCAATAACTTACCTGCAAACAGGTACAAGTACAGTAATATCTTTAAGATTAATCCCATTATTGTGCATTGGTAGAAATCCCCTTGTTGATCGCGGACCGCGCTTTGCTTGTTCACAGTTGAAGAGATACTTTCACTTTCATTTTACAGGAAAAAAAACCGTGCCTTGCTGTTCCTGCACCTCCTGTCACGTGGTAAACGGTTAAAATATCACAGACAAAATATTTTAAAATGTGTACAATATATGTTAAGAAAATGTAAATGAAAATCTTTGAAAACTCAACACGGAGCGAACGTTATTTAACAGACAGGTTTCATTTTGACGCCGAACCAGCCGTTAGTTCTCAGTTCGTCCTGAGGTGGCGCTGTGACGTCACAGAAGCGCGTCCCTCTTGGATTCTGACTCGTTGACGCGGAACAGCGGAAGCGCTTTATACGAAACTGTCGACATGCTGCCGCAAACTTGTGAAAACCTCCTGAGAGTGACGGACTTTACCGACTGAACGGACTTAATTACCATAAATGCGAAGTAACAGTTGTTTATTGGACTATATTCACTCAGTGGAACAAACTATCGACCATGAATGGGAAATGAAAACGGGACTAAAATAAGCTAACGACTTTCCTTTAGCTACATGCAGCAGCTAAGCTAGGACAGTAATGATGGACAAAGGTAACGTAAACTTTTTGTATATTATTCTGAAACACAAAATCTTTTCCTATGTGGACAACATGATGCTATACTTAATTTAAAGTATTGCATATTAAAGCTGCCTTGTTTGTTATTATATCCCAAAAAATAAGATGGATGAAATTGTCCTAAATTTGGCTTTATTTGCAAAAAATTGTTTAATTGCACTAAATATCAGTTTAATCAAATAGTTCATACTGTTCTGGGCTCTAGGGTTTATTGTGGCGATAGAAAATGGTGAGGTTAACAGGAAAACCATAGTCAAACATTGATAATCTATGGAAGTAGATTCTGATTTGTGAATTAGTCCAATGCCAAAATAAAAAAGGGGATTCTAAATTTAGATTCGTATTTTAACAGATGAGAATCAGATTATTTTTATCTGATAAAGAAGATTATTATTTAATGATAAGGTATTAATATGTGTGTTTACAGTTGGAATGATTAGTCGATTATTATAAAGAAAATGAACAAGCAACTAGTTTGATAATCAATTACATGTTTCAGTAATTTTCTGATTTCCAATGTGATAATGATTTGTCATACATAATAATAAACCCAACATGTTTGGGTTTTGAAATGTTAGTCAGATAAAACAGGGAATTTGTTGATTCCACCTTGGGCTGTAGGGCAACATACTGGCATTTATTTTCTCTTTTTTCTGACATTTTTAGGTAAAAATTATCATCAGATTAAACGAGAATAAAAGTAATTTGTTGCAGCACTAGTTGTGTTAACACGGCTGTGTGCGTCTCTATCTGTAGGAGCGAACAAAGATTCAGAAATGGATAGTTGTCAGTTCATGAATGGATGAAGTTGTTTTGAACCTGCTCTTTTATGTTTTCAGATTCAGCAGTCCTCCAGGGTGCCTTCCTCCTGGCTGATAAGCTGTGTCTCCCCTCATCCCTGTCCTCCCTTGAAAAAGCTGACTGGAGCAGGGTGGGTCGTCCAGTCCTGGAGGCAGTCAGAGAAATCTGTGGACAGGATGAACTCAGTGGTCATCTCCACTCTGTGGCTGGCTGCTGGAGAAAGAAAATAGTTTGTGTTGTGTGGTTGAAGCTGTTGTGCAGACAGGCTGAAGAGGATGTAGAGACATCGTGGAGGGAGAATCCTTTCTTCCCTCTCCAGAGTGGCCTCCCTGAGGTCAACCATGTTGTCCTGCTGGAGCTGGTGAGGTCAATGGAAGCTGCAGATGTTTTTGCCAATTTCCTTCTATGTCTTCCTCAATCTCAGATCTGTGTTGAACTTGAAAGGCTAATACAGTATGTGAAAAGCAGCCCTACTAGAGAGGAGGATGTTCGGCTTTTTCTGGAGGTGTGGTGGGAACTGTGGAAGGGCAGAAGCGAACAGAAAGTAGGAGGAGGAGAGGAAAGCATAGAGGCGATGTTTGCCAACCAGTTTGCTCGTCTGTCCTCTAAGTCCTCCAGTGTGTCCCCTCAGGCTGCCAAGAGGTTAAAGCTAGACACATCAGATAAACTTGCATCTTCACCAAGCACTGATGTCCTGCACATTCTCCTTCACGCACTTAAAGACATGAAAGATCACATATCCTCAACAGATCTCTGTCTCCAAGCCCTCTCCATTTCCCTTGATTCTCTTTACACAACCTTACTTATAGACAGAGAGGTCTCACTTCCAACCAAAGAGAAGATGCACCTGTTGTCTAAAGCCGTCAGCATCAAAGAAAAGAATTATGACAGACTGAGTCCTGAACTTATTCAGGAGGCGCAGAGAGACTTACGTGCCTCTCACACACCGTCTCAGTTTCAACCCACGAAGCTGAAGCTTGGGGAAGCCTTGAAGATGATAACAGACCTCACACAGTTCTGGCTCAACAGTGGCCTCCTGAGAGCGTATGACAGCGCTAATCTTAGTTACTCTGCTTTTAAACTAGAACAAAGTGTCCAGAGAGTTCTGCCTGAGACGGATGTTCAAGAGACTGAGAAGAATATACTCAGAGATTTGCTGAAGTCACTGGCTTTCTCCGACACACAGACAACCCCCGAGGTGGATGCAAAGGTCACTATGATCATCATAAGTCATCGCCTGGAAGACTATCAGAACTTTGCTGTGTTATTTGCCAGCGAGAGGAGCTGGGCCTCCTGTGACGAGCACTGGCTGGACTGCCTGGAAAAGAACCAGGCGGCCTTCAGGCAGCACATTACGCTGCTCGGCCTCGCCTCCACCCTCATGACTAAACTCCACAGCGGGGGCTCAGATGTGAGCCAGTGCAGGAAGCTAATGAAAGTCACTGCAGACATTTTCTCAGCACTTTCGTTAGAAGACAAGAACAAATCGTTGGCTGCCATGTTGAGATTGTCCCCCAGGGGTTTTTTTGGGCACCCTGTTCCCTCTTCTGTAACTGATGGATTTGAGCAGGAGCTCAACATGGCATTCAACTGCATCATCCAGGGAGGGGGTGGAGCGACAGCAGCAGTGTCGCAGGGCAATCTGAACACAGCGGCCTCTTTAGTGGCTCGAGTGGCCTTTCAGAACCCAGAAGCCGCTTTGAGGTCGTGTTGTCACTCAGCTGTTTTCAACAAGGGGGCTTTCTCTCTTATGGCTCAGATCCTCCAGCTGCTGCCTGGACTCAGGAGACAGAAGGGAAGAAAAGATGAAGCTGAACGTCATGAAAAAGAAAGAAAAGAGGCAGAGGAAAATATAGATGAAGGAAAGGATGCTTGGAGTGGGAGCAGCCTGCTCTGCAGGTGTCTGCAGGACATGATCAAGAACAAATCATTGTTGGCCAGTGAAAAGGAGCAGCTCCTCAAGTTCCTGGGTCTCCTGATGATGCCAGTCATAGAAGTGGAGGGAGAAGAAAGGAAGCAGTGTTTTCTGCCTCCTCAGGAGGTCGTGAACATCTTTGTCCTGCCGAACCTTTCCACTACGGGTGAGTGTCCTGTGATATTCAGGCTTTAAAACTCTATGAACTGTGATTTTATCTCTTTAGTTAATGTAAAACATCTTGATTATTGCAGAAGAATTACTTATCAAAGTGTTTGAGTAAAGAAAGCCTGTCTGCTTCTCTGCACTCCTTTATATTCCCTCCAGCTCACAGTTCCTGTGATATAGAACTGAGTGTACAACTTCTCCACACTGCTCTGTGTGTGGATGTCCAGGATCCGGCTTCTTCTCCTCACTGGGTGCTGGACTGCTCTCCCTTTCCCCTGCTTTACGTCCTGGCACAGCTGCACAACCAGGCTCTCAGGTTTGTATAGCAACTGTTGTTCTAGCCTTTAATTCAGGTTCAGATACTAACTATTATTATATTGTTTGAACAGTTAGTATTACGTTAAGAAGAAGTTAAGTATTAACTGTGACCTGCCTTCGATTTTAACACACATCTAACTCTCTGTAGGTTCTGGGAGCAGCCACCAGAGGGCGCTGTCCACCACTGGTCCATGGACACCATGGAGCTGCTGGTGTTGGTGCTGGCCACACTGGGGGAGGTGATGGGTGCAGAGGTGGCGGCGGCCCCCAGCAGCTGGTCCAGAGCTCTTTTCTGGCTCTACAATAAGATGGAGGAACTGGACTGGACAGTCAGGTTCCACCTGAAGCCCGTGTGGGGGGAGCACTTTAAAAATGAAGTTCCTTCATCTCTGCTGGCCGTGTGTGATTTACCTGAGCAGGTAAGAACTAGTGAATTAACGAATTGCAAGTATTTTGATAATAAAATAGTTGATTCTGTCATTTTTAAAGCGAAAATGTCAAATATTCTGTATTTTCAGGTGCTCAGTTCTGAGGATTTGTAGCTATCTATCATTATAAACTGAAAATCTGGGTTTAATATTCAGGTTTCTACCTGTTGGTCAGACAAAACAAGACTTTTGAAAATGTCACACTGGACTGTGATGGGTATTTTTCACAAATTGAACAATGAATCTATCGATCAATCAACAAAAATGATCAGATGAGTCAATGATAAAAATAATTGTTAGTTGCAGCCTTATACCAGCATCCCAGTAATCGTGGGGTTGTTGGAGTGTCCTGGTTTTGTGTACCACATGTAAACATCATATCCTGGTTTCAGCTGGCAGGAATACTCTGATACTGTCGCATATACACACTTTTTAAACACGGGTTTCTGATCAGTCTCTGTGTGCACATGATGTAAACGATGAAATGTTCAACATGCTGAAGCAGCGGGAAAGTCAGACTTTGGTTGTTGTTGTTTTCCATGACTTGTGATCCGAGGTTAAAACCTGCAGAGTAGCGGCTGACTCAGTCGGGTGTTACAGTTACAGTTGTTTCACATAAGACCATAAATACAGATCCACCCAAGTTCTTCTGCCACATGTTTATAACAGAAATGCAGTAAAATAATCTTTGAATAGTTCGTGATAAGCTGTGAACTTTGAATTTTGAGCAGCAGGATTAATTACAGCATCTACTGGTCACAGCAGATTTGTTACTGATCAGCCCAAAGACACTGCGTCATTTGTTTTTGTTTCTCTTTCATTGTTGATCAAAGTGAACTGATCATCTTTCTCTGGACCTGGTCTCTGGTCTCCCTCCTCTGCAGGACTGGTCCGGTTTGGACCTGCCTCAGTACGGCCAGGGCAGCGGCCTTCTGGCCTGGATGGAGTGCTGCTCCATATCGGACTCCCTGAAGTCCACCATGTTGTCCTGCCTCTCTCTGGACCAGCGCCGGCCCGACCACGTGGGCATGTTCAGCAAAGGGCTGCTGGTGGCTCTGACCCAGACTCTCCCATGGTGCTCCGTCTCCCAGTGGTCCCGGCTGCTGGGCGTCCTGAGGGAGCTCATCACCTCCGGTCGCCTCCACGTCCCCTTCTCGCTCGAGTACGTGGACTATCTTCCCCTCCTGGATCTGAGGAGGTTTTCGTGTGAGCTCCGCCTGTCGGTTCTCCTGCTGCGAGTCCTTCAGCTGCTCTGCGGGTCCAGCTGCTCACACTGGCTGTCAGCGCCGCACGGCTGGGCGCACGTCGGCAGGTTATACGCCCACGCCGTGAGGGAGATGATGAGCTCAGTGAGAGCCAAGCTGCCTCTTCCATCATCTGGAGCCTGGGCTGTCTCGGCTTCAACGCCTCCTAAAGCCCCAACACCTAGAGACTCAAATCCTCCCTGCTCTTCAGACAAAGCCTCGAACATGTCCTCAGACGCAGAATCGTCTGCTGTGAAGTCAGAGGAGTCACAAATGGAGAAGGAGGTGGAGACAGCTCCCAGCCAGGAAGTCCTGTTTGTTCTCAGCCAGCTCTTCTGCCATGTTCAGCACATCCAGGTAAGAATTAACGTAACTTTCATTAACCAGACAGTAAAACTGGACACACATGACATCGGTGTGTGTTTACATTTCCTAATTAATGTGCCAGTATTCTCCCTTACTTATTAGAGTTTAACTTAAAGTCTGTGGTGAACTTTCCCTCTGTCAGGTGATGATGCCCGGAGGTCAGTGTGAACCGCTGTTCCTGTCCAGTCTGGAAATCCTCAGCCACTACGAAGCCATCATGGCCGCCTTTCCAGAGAGCAGCAGCCCGCTGGAGAGCGACAACACCCGGCACTTCTTCACCACCATCACGGACAACCTGGAGAACCAGGAGATGAAGGTCGTGCTGCAGCAGAAGATCGCTCAGCTCGTGTCGGCAGACGCACGCTGATTTTTTTTTTTTTTTTCAATCGGGGTTATGAGGGTTCAAACAGTCGAAACTCCGTCTGTAGATTTCAGATCGGTGTTACACACTGTACTCAGCTGATTTATGGAGTTACTGCAAAATGACGTGTTTGTAATCTGATTCAATAAAAAGACAACATTTCACAGCAAACGTGTTTTTGTGCTGCCTCAGTCACAATCATTTCTACTCTGAAATGAAACATAAACAATAATTCAATTCTTTTACTTTATTTTTATAATTATTATTTTAACAAAGACAGTCACCACAGATCATGTGAAGACAGGAAAACAAAAGAAATTGAGTAACAGTGCAGTATCGAGGTCAGTAGGTCTTTAATGTCCCTGATTGTCCTTTAAAATCACAGAGGACTTTATGATCCAGGTGTGACTCAAATACAAAATATAATATCCAGTTTTTCCAGTTTTTTTAGTAGCATGTCTCAGACAGAAACTCGATTCTCAGCTGTTTCCTGGTTGTACAAATCTGTCATAAATACCTGTCGTGGTTTCTGAGCCCAGTTGGCACATTTCCTAAATAAATAACATCAATATCAGTCTCTGGACTTTTGGTCTGAATTTTTTAAACCAGATGTCTAGAATGAATTCCAGTTCATCCGTTTGTCTAAATGGTTCTTTTGAAATGTTTCATCCACCAACACAGACTGGAGAGGAACGCTTATTTGACTTTGTGCTAAATACTTTTCACTGTAGCGTCACAATCAGCATCACATCAACAAATAAGACGCTGCTTTATAATAGACTTCCAAACAAACAAAAGCCATTCCACCTTTGTCCTCAGGCAGTAATGTTTGAAATCTAATCCTCCTCCCCCCAGAAATGTTGAAATCCTTCTTTTCCATTCAGAGAATTAGTGGAGAGGTGCTTCAGCAGGCACGGACTGAAAAAGAAAAAGCAGTCTGGGTGGTACATTCTTCTTTATGGCATTTATTCGATTACACATCCAGTGGCAACAGAAGCCATCTAACTGTGTTCATAGGCAGCAGGTATAATTTAATCATTTTATTAATCAGAAAGCAAAAGAAATGTATAGAAAAATATTCTCTGTAAAGTAGTAAAACAACAAAAACTGCAATTCAAACATTAATGTCATAATTCACAGATAAAAATTACAAAATGATGTAGTGCAAAACAAAGAGAAATTAACAGAGTTAAGTTGAAGCTTTGAGGAAAAAAGTCACAGTATATTTTGAGAAAAAAATTGAATGTTTTGCAAAAAACCCCCCCCCCAAAAAAACATGATTTGAAAATGTCACAATTCAACGAGAAAAAAATTCAAGATTTGTAGAAGAAAATAGTTTTTTTTATTTTAGAAGAAATGTTTGGACTCCTCAGCTTGTCTTCGGTCCGTCTTTGTTCCTGTCTCCTCTCCCTCTCTTCTGTCTCAGGTAGAGTCTCTTCGCTTTCTTCAGCAGCAGGATGAACCAGTATATCTGCGGGGCCAGGATCACCAGGTTACCCACGTTGCAGTGCAGGGGCAGATGGAAGGGCACTCTGTGCAGGGGGATCCCAAACTGTCGGCCGTACATCCAGTACATGAAGGGGAAGATCAGGATCCGACAGGTGAAGAAGCTCAGGAGGACGACGATGCCGTTGAGTCTGTGCAGCCTGGTGTTGTCGAGGCCCAGCTGGACGTCCGGGGAGAAACACGAGAGACAGAGAATTTAACCAAGATGGTGGAAGAACTGGAGGAAAATATCTTAAAGTCTAAAAGCGAAAGCTAAAGTTAAGTGTAAAAACACATCACATTAACACGTTACTGCACCAGAACAGAGACGCATCTGTTTGTTCTGATGCATTTCACCAAAATTAAACTGCTTTTGAATTTATGGCATAAAAATGTAGTTGGACGAATCTCTGGCTAATTTCTTCAAACCCTCAAGCTTAGGACAGATTTTATGATTATATATTGGATCCAACTCTAAATAAAAGGCTCAGTTTCTTTTTTAATTTTTACATATTTTGCCTCTGGCGCTGGTTCACAGCCACTGAGGACAACGAGGTCATGTCCTCAAATATTTTGGTCTATTTAGGACTCGTTGCAGCTTTATTTTTCATATGTTTTTAATACACTTTCCATGGACTCCAGTACATTTTTTAAATTAACAATTAACAACATAAAAATGACTAAACAATGGAACCCAGCAGGAATAATGTGCAATATAATCTACTGACTTTTGCTGATGTCAGACACTTTTAAAGCAGCCATTTTGTAAAACTGGAACAGACAGAACTCTGATGGTCTTGGTCTGGAGATCAGGATACCAGAACAGCAGGTGCCAATGTGGTGGTTTACCTGGATCAGGATCTTTCCTATAGAGACGAAGGGAGTGCTGAACTCTGTGGTGAACATGCAGCCGATGAAGAAATCACCCAGTCCTCTTCTGAGGAACTGCAAATCACACACACAGCTCAGTCAGTGTGTGTGTGTGTGTGTGTGTGTGTGTGTGTGTTCATACTGAACCGACCAATCACATGTAAACACACTGTGATTCCTCCCTGTTCTTACCAGAGTAATGGGCATGAAAATGAGGAGCAGCGTCAGGTGATGCAGGATCAACATCCAGTCCTTGACGAGGAAAGCCTTCACCGTCTGCAGAGAGTGGCCGCTGTGTTCACTGACTTGACCTCTGACCCTCTGATTATGAAAGTGGCTCAGGTACATGGCATAGATGTCGTGGGCCATATATGGAGCTCCAAACACAGCAAACCCATTGACCATCCAGTGACTGCGGTGAGACAGAAAACAGTTTTACTGATTACTGTACATAAGTGTATATATATATATATATATATATATATAAGTATATATAATATAAGTTACTGCAGGATGCTTTGTCGACATAGACTGTTCAAACACCTTTCTATGACACCTGGTTTAACTGTGTGTGATTATCCCACCTGTCCGTCATTACGTCGCTGCATGACGTCACGACTCTTACTCCAGCTGCAGTAGCCAGAGATGCATGAATGGCGGAAACCAGCCTGAAGAAACAGAGTTGAAAATAACAATTGTGCCACACAGATAATTACACGAAACTCCATTTAAACACATGGTAATTTATTTGGTGTCTTGCTTTTAGGCACCAATGCATACATGATGAAATAATACTTAAGTAGTTTATCCACTCAGAGGTCCTGTTTGGTCTCTTCGGTCGATATAATATATAAACATGACCGAACAAATGAGTAAAAATCCAACTTTTTTAAAAAGGTTCATACGGTTTATTATCGTATGTGTGTATTTACACGAGGAGAGTGAGGACTCTTTACTAAAGTTTACTAAAAGGCGCCATTGGGCCATTATATGAAAGCCGAATTAACCAGCTCTTCATAATAACTCATAATATAAATTAAACTTCTACCAACGTGTGTAAATGTAAAGATAAGCCCGACAACGTGAAACCGCCTCATATCTTAAAGGGAGTTCAGCGCTGACCTCTCACTGACAGAAACCACGTCGGCATCACTCCAGTGTGTGAAAGTTGACTTCAGTATTTTCCTGAAGCTGTAGAAAAGACCCGGAAACACCACAGCTCCACACGCTAAGGCTGTAAACATTATTTCAGCCGACGTCTTCCTGGAGCCGCGAGACCGCCTTACTGATCAAATAAAATCAATAAGAGACTTATCGGGCCCGGTGAGGACAAAGCATAACGTAGCTGCCAGTCACCGGTCAACGGCAGCGTTAGCTTGTTGCTGAACTTCCTCTTCATAAGGATAAGTTTCATTTAGAGGGATTTTATTGGTCGGAGGAGACGCGCTGTAAACCAATAGCAATGATTGACCTTAAATAACCTCTGAATGTTTTCGTGTTAAATTCATGTACGACAGATTTTATTTGGATCCTTATGTTTATTCACATATTCACACATGATATATACACAGACTTAAAATGAACATATTGAGCGTATTTCTTTACGTTATATTTTCATGTTGTTATAGACATAGACTGCAAAAAAAATATATACATATATGTATACACACACACACACACACACACACACTTTTTGATATATATATTAAAAAGTATATATATACTCTATATATATAAATATGTAGTGTGTGTGTATATAATATTTATATATATATGTGTGTGCATGCGTGTGTATGTATATATATATATAGACATATATATAGAGACATATACATATATATATATACTTTTTTGTTTTTTTATGTTTATAATATGTATGATTTATATATGTATAAATTTTTATATATATATATATATATATATATATATATACACATACATACACACATATATATATATGGAATACGTACACACATAAATATATATAGACATATAGACATGGATATAGATATGTGTATAGATAGATAGATAGATAGATAGATAGAGAGATAGATAGATTCTCATTTGTAATAATGTAATGTTATGTTTAAATATCCTTCACCTTCTATATCTTTGTTTACATTTTTGTACCATTTGCATTAATACATGTTCATCTTGTCCTCATGCAGTGATGATCACAATGAAATATACATTGTACATATTTATTCCATTGATTTAGTACTGCACTTCCATAAAGAACAGACAGATAAAAAAAAGAAAAGAAGAATGGCATATCTTGTTATTTAGTCCCTTGTAGTGCTCCTCATGAGTAAACTGATTCATGTGTAAAATTGGTGGTTTGTTCATTTAAAGAAAAGATTCTCTCTTTATTTTTTGTTTTGAAATAACTTCTACAGTCGCACCACCTTCTGCAGTAGCTGAGTGACTTCAGTTTCGTCTCCTGTATGAAACACATGATGCCGGCGAGCACATCTGTCCAGCACCCACTGAAGAGGCTTCCCCTTCCCCTCGATGTGTTTCTGTATCGCCTTTCCTCTCAGTATCTCTCCGTAGGTGAACAACACCACAGTGCTTCTCCAAACGTTGTCCCCCAGGACACTGAGGTATGTCTCCACAGCTCGTCTGTCCTTCTCTCTGAACGAGTCCACCGGAACAGCCAGCAGGAACACCACTCTGCTTCTCACAGGACACAGAGACGGGCTCAGACTGATCTCTGTCCTGACCTGCTCAGGATTGGCCAGACCGAACAGACTCCACCCGGGGGTGTCCACCACCGTGACAGACCACCCTGATACTTCCCTGTGGCCTACAGAGCACCTGGTGGTCTTAGTGTTGGTCTGAAACTCTTCTCTGTCCAGGATCAAGTTGCCTGCTGAGCTCTTCCCTGATTTCCTCCTTCCCAGCAGGATGAGGCCGAGGGCAGGTTTAAACACAACGGGCTCTGCTGAGAATCCTGCAGTTACACATAGTGCAGAGGTTTTCACATGTTACACAACTTATACATGTTTTATTCCAGTTTTCTTGCTGATTGTGGGCAAAATGACAAAGTTCCTATGTACCTCTGGACATTTGTTGCCATTTTGAGGATATCTGCCGCCTTGGTCTTGACCTCCCGTCACGCACATCACCCATCACTGTCATTTCTATGTCCTTTACTCTCCCCTGCCGCCTCCTCTCCTCCTCCCTCATGCTTACATCGCGTCTCAGCTGGGTGTACATCATGTTCTGGATTTCCCTGGGACGCTTGTTCACCTCTATCATCTTCTGGATCTTCTCAAAGAGTTGTGTAACCTGAACCTCCGAGGTCCTGGACTGGTTGGACATAACCTGATACCTGTTCCCACATCGCTCCAGCAGCCAGTGGAGAGTCCGATCTTCTCGCCTTATGTGCTCCTGGATGAACACGCCTCCTGCAGCACAAATAACATCATTGGTTGGCTAATTAGCAAATGTTAGCACAAATGAGATTTGAACCTTTTTACATATGTGGTAACCTGCATCAATGCTAATGTCAGATGTTAGCATTTAGCTCAAAGCTGTGCTTAAGTACAGCCTCAGTGACCGTACCATGTTTACTCATGTCCTTTAACTACAGTAACGTTTATGTTTATGAATCTTTCATTGAATTCTAGTTTATAGTTTCCTTCATCAACATAAACACTGTAAATGTCGTGAATCTTCTCCAATACTGATAAGCTGTACAAACTCATTCATGGTTCCTATGCTCTTTCTCCTGTCACTTTTTCTTCACATTGGCACACAATATGGCTGTAGTGAAGACATGAATTTTAAGCCGTTCAAAATATCCAGTTTTTCGCAAGGAAAAAGTAAAATTTTATAGCCTGATAAAGTGAAAATAATATTGTGTATTTGTAACATAGTTGAAAAGGTTCAGGTTAAATCCCATTAAATGGAACAACTAGGCCACCTACTGTACTTACACTGAGTAGTAATGGCAAAGGATTATGGGTAATCCTCAGAGCAACAGAGTGTCTGTGGACAAAACAATATTCATGACCTCAAACGCAGATAAAAGTTGAGCTGGCATTATTGGTTGAGTATTATTTGTTTTGCATTAAATTCGCTATGTTTCTATTAAGTTAAACATTGTCTCTCATGTTTTATTGCCAGTAAAAATCCCTCCAGTACAGCTAGCTAAAATTAATGTGTCCGTCTTTCCAGGCAGAGCATGAAGAGTTTGTCCACAAGTGATGACTATTTAATGATGTTTTTATGCCTTCTGAATTTGAATTCTGGGCCTGGGTCCTCTCTTTCTTTCTTTTTTTTTTTAACAGTCAGTGGTGGCCTGTGTACTTTTTCATGCTGCAGTCTGCTGGGGTAATATGACATTTTTTGGACATTTTTATACCTTACTACACTATATATTGTTTTTTAACATTTTATGCCTCACTATGTTATGTTTTTGGTTTTTTTTTTTACATTTTTATGCCTTACTATACTATGACGTTGTTTTTGACATTTTTATGCCTTACTATACTATGACATTTTTTTTTAAACGTTTTTATACCTTAATATACTATGACATTTGTGTTGAAATTTTTATGCCTTACTATACTATGACATTTTTTTTTGTCAATTTTATGCAGTACTATACTATGACCTTTTTTTTAGACATATTTATGCCTTACTATACTATGAGGTTTTTTGTGACAATTTTATGCCTTACTATACTATGACATTGTTTTTGACATTTTTATGCCTTACTATACTATTACGTTGTTTTTGACATTTTTATGCCTTACTATAATATGACGTTTTTATGCCTTTTTATACTATGACATTTTTTTTAACATTTTTATGCCTTACTATACTATGTCCTTTTTTTTTTGCAATTTTTATGCCTTACTATACTATCACATTTTTATGCCTTACTATACTATGACATTTTTTTGGACATTTTATGCCTTACTATACTATGACATTTTTTTTTTACATTTTTATGCCTTACTATACTATGACGTTGTTTTTGACATTTTTATACCTTACTATACTATGACGTTGTTTTTGACATTTTTATGCCTTACTATAATATGACGTTTTTATGCCTTTTTATACTATGACATTTTTTTAAACATTTTTATGCCTTACTATACTATGTCCTTTTTTTTTTGCAATTTTTATGCCTTACTATACTATGACATTTTTATGCCTTACTATACTATGACATTTTTTTTTGACATTTTATGCCTTACTATATTATGGCATTTTTTTGACCTTTTTAATATGTTATTATACTATGACATTTTTTTTGACAATTTTATGCCTTACTATACTATGACGTTTTTTTGACAATTTTTATGCCTTACTATACTATGACATTTTTATGCCTTACTATACTATTACGTTGTTTTTGACATTTTTATGCCTTACTATAATATGACGTTTTTATGCCTTACTATACTATGACATTTTTTTTTTACATTTTTATGCCTTACTATACTATGACGTTGTTTTTGACATTTTTATACCTTACTATACTATGACGTTGTTTTTGACATTTTTATGCCTTACTATAATATGACGTTTTTATGCCTTTTTATACTATGACATTTTTTTAAACATTTTTATGCCTTACTATACTATGTCCTTTTTTTTTTGCAATTTTTATGCCTTACTATACTATGACATTTTTATGCCTTACTATACTATGACATTTTTTTTTGACATTTTATGCCTTACTATATTATGGCATTTTTTTGACCTTTTTAATATGTTATTATACTATGACATTTTTTTTGACAATTTTATGCCTTACTATATTATAGCATTTTTTTGACCTTTTTAATGTTATTATACTATGACATTTTTTTTGACAATTTTATGCCTTACTATACTATGACGTTTTTTTGACAATTTTTATGCCTTACTATACTATGACATTTTTATGCCTTGCCTTACTATACTATGACATTTACCTTTTTGATACCTTACTATACTATGACATTTTTTTGACAATTTTATGCCTTACTATATTGTGGCATTTTTTAAAAAATTTTTATGCCTTACTATACTATGACATTTTTTTTTAAATTTTATGCTTTACTATACTATGACTTTTTTTTTTTTGGACATTTTTATACCTTACTATATTATGACATTTAGTTTGACATTTTAATGCCTTACTATACTATGACGTTTTTTTTTGAAAATTTTATGCCTCACTATACTATGACATTGTTTTTGACATTTTTATGCCTTACTATAATATGACGTTTTTGTGCCTTACTATACTATGACGTTTTTTTGACAATTTTTTGCCTTACTATACTATGACCTTTTTTTGTGACATTTTTATACCTTACTATACTATGACATTTAGTTTGACATTTTTATGCCTTACTATACTATGACGTTGT